CAAATAATTCTTTCCTTCACCACTTATTCCTGCATAACTCAAATTCAGCTGAAAGGGGCCAGGGCTGTGGCACAGCAGGTAAAGCCACTGCCTGTTTGAGTCCCGGCTGCTCTACTTCCGATCCAGCTCTGTGCTATGGCCTGGGAAAGCAGCAGAAGATGGACCAAGTGCTTGGGCCCCTGCACCCCTGTGGGAGACCCAGAAGAAGCTCTTGGCTCATGGCTTCAGATAGGCTCAGCTCTGACCCCTGCAGTCATTTGGGGAGTGAATCAGTGAATGGAAGACCTCTCTCTCTTTCTCTGCCTCTGCCTCTCTGTAACTCTGCCTTTCAAATAAATAGATAAATCCTTTTTATAATAAATTTATCTTTTAATCCTTTTTTCCCCAAACTTTTTTTTAAGATTTATTTATTTATTTAAAAGCAGAGTGAGAGAGAGAGAAGTCTTCCATCCGCTGGTTCACTCTCCAATTGGGCATAATGGCTGAAGCTGTGCTGACCTGTGGGGAATCCTACAAGAGTCCCAAAAAAGTTACGGAGCACCACTAACCCAAAAAGAAAGAGAAAAAGCAAAGCCAAAATGGAGTTACTTAAGCTAAGGCCACTAAGCACCAGGAACTGCCCAGACCATCTGTCAGCTCAGATACAGGTGGTGAAGCCTGATAAGGACTGGGGTACATTACATCATAGGAAGCAGCCAATCAGCTGGCTACTATATTATTTCACTCACACTACTACACCACGATTGGCCACACCCAGAAGGCCCCCAAACATACCACTGGTCACACCTAAACACCAACATCTGGTTGGTGACACCCAAAAAGGTGAGCCTGTGATTGGTGACACACTAGAACATACTCATCACTCACCTACTCCTGAGGGGGGGATAAAAAGGCAAGCCTCACATCTACTCTTCATCCCCTCGGGGACCATGGCTCAGTGTGAGTGATGGATCCACCTCATCTTGCTGAAACTCTGCCCGAGTCTTCACTGATCAAAACTCTGCTCGCCACTCCGCTGGATCCCACCTCGCCTGGACGTCCCAGCCACTGCTGGACCTGACATTGGAGCTGGACGGAACTTCTCATTGGTAACTTCTACGACTCTTCACCATAGAGCCTACTGCCCAGAGTGCCAGACATCTCATGACTACTGTCCGTAAGTGACTGTTCTGAGATCTGTCTCTCCAAGTAGTAACAGAGACTTTGGACTCTGGACTTTGACTTTTCATGACCCGTGATGTGAACCTTGAGAATGCAGCATTCATATTACACCCTTAGCCATGAGTGTTTAGATTGATTATGCTTTTATGCTTGGTTGTTTTATACTTATTACTATTGCTAAATATTTTTAGAGATTGTCTTACTCCTAGATGTGTGTTATGACCTGTGGGCTAATGACATATTGAATGGTATTGACCTTTAGATGTGTGCATTGAATACATAGTGAGTGGTACTGAACAATAAATTATATTGAAAAGACAATCACAATTCTGTGTGATTCTTCCCTGTGCTCTGACATGTCGCATTAGCCTCGTCGAGCTGTATGACAAGTGGTGCTCACAACACGATCCAAAGCCAAGAGCCAAGAGCTTCTTACAGGTCTCCACATGGTGCAGGGGCCCAAGGACTTTGGCCATCTTCTACTGCTTTCCCAGGCCATAGCAGAGAGCTAGATCGGAAGTGGAGCATCCAGGACTCGAACCAATGCCCATATGGGATGCCAGCACTGCAGGTAGTAGCTTTACCCACTACGCCACAGTGCCAGCCCCCAAATAAATCTTTAAAAAAAAATTCAGGGGACAACACCGTGGCACAGCAGGTTAAAGCCCAGGCCTGCAGCACCAGCATCCCATATGGGTGCTGGTTCAAGCCCCAGATGCTCCATTTCCAATCCAACTTCCTGCTAACATGCCTGGGAAATCAGTGGATGAAAGCCCAAGTGCTTGGGCCCCTGCACCCACGTGGGAGGCCCATGAAAACTCCTGGTTCTGGACAGGCTCAGCTCTGGCCATTGCAGCCATTTGGGGAGTGAACCAGAGATGGAAGACCTCACTATCTCTCTGTCTTTAAATCTCTCTGCAACTCTTTCAAATAAATAAAAATAAATAAACAAATAAATCTTGTTTAAAAACTCAGCAGAAACCTCCTTGACAACCTCAAATATTTAATAATCAATTTTTCTAGAGGTCATTTTAATAACATGTAGTAACTTTCTATAACTTTAAAATTTGTAAAATGAGTTGCCTGTATTTATTGAGTACTTTATCTTCTTCTTCTTCTTCTTCTTTTTTTTTTTTTTTTGACAGGCAGAGTGGACAATGAGAGAGAGACAGAGAAAAAGGTCTTCCTTTTCCGTTGGTTCACTCCCCAATGGCCACTGCCGCTGGCGCGCTGTGGCCGGCATACCACACTGATCCGAAGCCAGGAGCCAGGTGCTTCTCCTGGTCTCCCATGTGGGTGCAGGGCCCAAGCACTTGGGCCATCCTCCACTGCACTCCCGGGCCACAGCAGAGAGCTGGACTGGAAGAGGAGCAACCAGGACAGAATCCGGCGCCCTGACCAGGACTAGAACCCAGGATGCCAGCGCCACAGGCAGAGGATTAGTCTATTGAGCCACAGGGCCGGCCAAGTACTTTATCTTCTAAGCATTATTTAAGCATTTTTCAAAAATTAATTTACATAATCTCATAACCCCCCTTTGAGGTAAGAACTATTATTGCCCTCTAAAATGGGCAATAGTAGAAGAAACTGAGGAAAAGAAAAGCTTGGTTTTTGCCCATTGTCACACAGTGAGAAAGTAGGACCCCCATGATTAAATCCTATTGGCTCTATAAGGGACTACATCAATACAGTCAAATGTATGAGCTCCTGGTCTCTTGCCATGTGATGCCCTATGAGACCTCAGGACTCTGCCAGCCAGAATGCCATCATCAGAGCCTAAACCAGTGCGGCTCACCTATTCTTAGACTGTAAATTTCCAGAATCATGAGCCAAAATAAGCCTCTTTACTTTATAAAGTTAGGCTGCCTCAGTTATTTCTTTACAGTATTGCAAAGTTGACTACTAGACCACTACTGATGTTCCTTCAAAGTGAGGGATTTCCATTCATTTTAATCTCCCTCACCCTTCCTTTTACTTTCTCTTTCAAGGATGGAAAAGTGGCTTCTATAATTGGTTACTTTGAAAGAATAAACTGGGTAAGCTTGCTTCAGCTCTAACCATCTTCCTCTTGGGAAGTATATATGCTTCCTCTTGGGAATATATGCTCTACATGGCTCCTCCAGCTGTGCCTGTAAGACATGCTGCCTAATTCTCTGGTTCAATATTAGCTGACCCACTGGACTTTCTCACTAAACTACATCCTCCAAATCAATCTTTATTGATAATAAATATAATAAAAGTGATGCAGATTTTTTACTTCCTATTTGCCTTACTCTCTTATTGCTCAATTTGTTAAGAATTAGAACAAGGGAAACTATTGATTCAGCCCTCTAGAAATAACCAATAGATAGGTTCTAAAACAAACTTAATAAGCCATCTATTCACTGGCACTGAGGAAGTGCTGTGTTCTGTGGAATACAATAAAATGAGTATTGTGCAATGAAGTAAGCATTCATTATTCACCCCATAAAAGATAGGTAATTCAGTCACCCAAAGGGAAGTTAGAATTCCCCTTTACTTAATGACACATCTGACATATTTCTTCTTTGCATTTCAAGTTAAGAAAAAAGACAAACTGCTAATTTCTACAAATATCAGAGAACAAATGCTGAATGTTTTTAAATAGGTCCAAGTTTTTACCTTGCTTCATTTTAAATCTGGTAAGTTACATGAGTAACTATGGGAAATTAGTCATAAAAAGAAAAATTTTACAATCCCAAAGGCAAATATAAAGGATAAAAAGTTAAATAATTCAAATTCCATTTACAACTGATGCCTTTAAAAATATCCTTAGGTGACATTCACACCTATCTGGAAAACAGTTTGTCACTTGATTCAGTTACAAACACCTAATTACGAAGGGTTTGGTAGAGTCTCAACTTGGCAGATAAGTTTATGAGGACTAAAGGCAAAAGAGATTCAGAAAAATGAGTAAACTGACAAATGAGAAGCTTAACATCTTAACAGAAAATATCTAGGCTGAGAAATTCTTTCTAAGCAGGGTTAAGTATTATAGAGCTAAAACTCAAAATCAACACTGGAAGACCTTTAGAAATTATTTGATGGAGCAGGCCTTTTGCTTTTGGATTTCTAATATCTGACTATACAGAAAACAGTCATCTTGCTGGAGCTTCCCTTTACTGTCCACCTTCAACCACATTTCACTCTTCTCCTGCCATTGCATTTTTTTTTTTTTTTGAAAAAAAAAAAATTTTTTTTTGACAGGCAGAGTGGACAGTGAGAGAGACAGAGAGAAAGGTCTTCCTTTGCCGTTGGTTCACTCCCCAATGGCCACCGCGGCTGGCGCGCTGCGGCCAGCACACCACGCTGATCCGCTGGCAGGAGCCAGGTACTTATCCTGGTCTCCCATGGGGTGCAGGGCCCAAGCACTTGGGCCATCCTCCACTGCACTCCCGGGCCACAGCAGAGAGCTGGCCTGGAAGAGGGGTAACTGGGACAGAATCCGGTGCCCTGACCGGGACTAGAACCCGGTATGCCGGCACCGCAAGGCAGAGGATTAGCCTAGTGAGCCATGGCGCCAGCCCTGCCATTGCATTTTAAAATGAGAAAAATATATTTGCTTAAATTTGCAAGTGTCCTTGCAGGCTCTCCTGATAACCTGCATGTAGCTCATGATACAACCTTTTCCACTGCTTTCTGAAGGGAAGTATTTTCATGTGAAAGATCCTCATTAGCCAAAACCTAACAAATAACACTGAAGCACACATAAGTAGTTCCTGTACAGCGGCTATCCACATTAAAGAACATGATGGGCAGGGAAGGAACTGGTGGAACAGTCAACATACTCTTTGGGACACCCAAATCCCGTACTGGAATACCTGAGTTCAAGTCCTTGGCTCCATTCCAATTCCAGCTTCCTGCTAATTTGCACTCTGAGAGACAATGATGGTTCAGTTAGGTCCGTGTCACCTACAAAGAGATACCCGGACTGAGTTCCTGACTTCTGGATTCAGACTGTCCTAGCCCCAGCTGTTGCTGGCATTTGGCAAGTGAACAAGGAGATCAGTCTCTCTCTCTCAAATAAACAAATAATTTTTCTTTAAAAAGAATATAATACTTGTTATGCTTGTAGTCACCTAGAATTTCTGCCAATCTTGACTACATTTGGAAATCTGACAACATTATGAATCCTTCCTTCCCAAAACCAAATTCAGAACTCACTTTCCCAGCTTCCTTTGTCTGGCAATGGGATCTAGTGTCCAACAACCACTGCATCTACAGAAGACTTCAAACAGAAGAGGAAGCAAATGAGAAAATTCATCTTTTTGATGGGATAGCTGGTATAGGCATCGACCTCCCAGGGGAAAACTGTGATGGCCCTTCTGGCATCCAGTCCCCAGCACCGCTGGTACAGCTGCGGTGTCAGTATTAGACTTCAGGGCAGCAATATCCAGTGTAGTTTCGGTGGTGCTCCTGATGATCTAACCTGCAGGGTCCAACAGATTTGTGAACTCCCAAATATCTTTTAGTATTTCTTCTGCTATTTGGCTACAGAGTGTATTCTGCATTGTACAAGATTCAAAAAAGAAAAGAATTTGTACTAAGCAAACTATGGTTTTATCAAAGTGATAGTAGAATGAGTATCTATTCAATAATAAACTCAACAGTCATCTACAGAGAAGCAGTCACAGGATGGTACTGTGCTATAAATTGTATAGGAAGAAAAAGGAAAGGGACAAGATGTGTATTATGGAAATAAAAGGGGCCGGCGCGCGGCTCACTGAGCTAATCCTCTGCCTTGCGGCGCCAGCACACCGGGTTCTAGTCCCGGTCGGGGTGCCGGATTCTGTCCCGGTTGCCCCTCTTCCAGGCCAGCTCTCTGCTGTGGCCAGGGAGTGCAGTGGAGGATGGCCCAAGTGCTTGGGCCCTGTACCCCATGGGAAACCAGGATAAGTACCTGGCTCCTGCCATCGGATCAGCGTACCGGCCGCAGCGGCCATTGGAGGGTGAACCAACAGCAAAGGAAGACCTTTCTCTCTGTCTCTCTCTCTCACTGTCCACTCTGCCTGTCAAAAAAAAAAAAATTAAAAAAAAAAGGAAATAAAAGGGCATAAAGATTTAAAAAAAAGTTAAATGAAATTTAGAAAACATAGAAGAAGGAGCAGGTGCTGTGGCACAGTGGGTTAAAGCCCCAGCCTGCTGTGATGGCATCCCATATGGTGCAGGTTCAAGTCCTGGCTGCTTCACTTCTGATCCAGCTCTCTGCTATGGCCTGGGAAAGCAGTAGAAGATGGCCCAAGTCCTTGGGCCCCTGCACCCACGTGAGAGACCTGGAGGAAGCTCCTGGCTCCTGGCTTCGGATTAGCGCAGTGCGTCGGCCATAGCGGCCATTTGGGGGATGAATCAACGGAAAAAGGAAGACCTTTCTCTCTCTCTCTCTCTCTCTACTGTCTAACTCTGCCTGTCAAAATATATATATATATACTTTTATAATTATTAAAATTTAGTAACGTGCCGAACTTAAACAACGCAACAGTAAAAATACAAATAACAGGCAATAGAACCAAACAGATATTTCTCAAAGGAAGACTTACAAATGACCAACAGGTATGTGAAAAGATTCCCAACACCACTAATCATCAGGGAAATAAAAATGGAAACCACAATGAGTTATCACCTCACTCCAGTTAGACCGGCTATTATCAAGAAGACAAAAGATAACACACATGGGCAACAAGTGGAGAAAAAGGAACTGCACGCCACTGGCAGGGATGTAAACTAGTACAGCCATTGTAGAAAACAGAAGGAAGGTTCCTCAAAATCAAAAAACAGAACTACCATATAATCCAGTAATCCCACTATTGGGTATGTATTTCCAAGGGAAATGAAATCAGTCTGTCAAATAGACATTTGAGCTCTCAGGTTTATTGCAGTGCTATTCACATTAGTCAAGAAATGGAAACAACCTAAGTTTGCACTCAGTGGTGAAGGGATAAAGAAACTGTGGTACATACACACGATGTAATACTACTCAGCCATAAAAAAGGATGAAATTGTGTTTATTTGTGTCATTTGCAATAATGGAACTTGGAGTCATTAAGGAAAACAAGCCAAGCATGGAAAACAAGAATCACATGATCTCACTGAAATGTGAAATGTGCGCCAGCCTAAAGTATATTTATTTACCAACAAATAGATTTGCCCCAAACTCAATGACCATTTTATTACCATAATACAGATTGTTCATAAGAAAAGGTGATCTCATAGAAGTTAAATATATAATAGTAATTGTCAGAGGCTACAGAAGGAAAGAGATGGGGAAAGGTTGATTTACATTACTACACTCTAGTTAGATAGGAGCAATAAGTTCTGGTGTCCTGCTGTACAGTAGGTGACTACTGACAACAATTAATATACTATATACATATACATATATATGTGCATATATATATATGCATTTTTAAAAAAGCTAGGAGAAGGGCTGGCATTGTGGCATAACAGATAACGCCCTGACCTGAGGCACTGGCATCCCATATGGGCGCCAGTTCAAGACCCGGCTGCTCCACTTCTGATCCAGCTCTCTGCTATAGCCTGGGAAAGCAGTGGAAGATGGCCCAAGTCCTTGGGCCCCAAGTGGGAGACCCAGAAGAAAGTCCTGGCTCCTGGCTTCAGATCGGCGCAACTCCAGCCACTGCGGCCAATTGGGGAGTAAACCATAGGATGGAAGACTCTCTCTCTCTCTCTCTCTCTCTGCCTCTCCTAATTGGGGAGTAAACCATAGGATGGAAGACTCTCTCTCTCTCTCTCTCTGCCTCTCCTCTCTCTGTGTAACTGACTTTCAAATAAATAAATCTTTAAAAAAAAAAAAAAAGCTGGGAGAGAATTCTGAATATTTTGTCCAATAGAGGACAAATGTTTGAGGAAATAGTTCAGTTTACCCTGAATTGAACATCGCACAAATGCATACATGTCTCAAAACACTTCATAAATATGTATAACGTTTAGGTACCACTTAAAAATAACTTTTTAAAAATATTCAATAACCATAATATGTAGACCACAAACCAAAATATGAGGGCATGGAGAGGTAGGGAAGGCAGGATAGCTTCTTTGGATTACAGGGTCAACCAGGGAAGGCCTCTCTGAAGTGGCCACATATAAACCAAGATATGAAAGGTGAAAACATGTTAGAGGGGAAAATTCCAAGGTTATAGCACTCTGGGTGGAGACAATAACAAAAGGAAAGACCAGAACACAGAAGGAAGTAGGAATGTTTGAGGAACAGAGATGCAGAACAGAGAACCTAGGCAAGAGAAACAGGGTGACAGTGACAGTCACAACTGAAGAGGCAGCCAGACACTGGATTGCACAGGTCTGTTACCAAGATGGGACCATGATTCTAATCTCAAAGGGAAATCATTTATTCAGCAGGGAAGTGATATGATCTGGTTTACTATGCAAAAGATCACTCTGCTTGCTATGCGGATAATAGAAGGAATAGGAAGGCAGAGTGGAAGCGTTAAGAGCAGTTAGGAAATGAGAGTAGGATAGTAGCGATGGTAATAGAAAAATGCATATAAATTCAAGTTGCATTGGCTAGTATGAAAGAAAATATCTAATTGTTTCATTAACAAAAATACACTTAGTTAAAATAACATAATGTCTCTCATCAAATTAGCAAATATCAAAATAGCTAATATCAGATGGGTGTTGTGGTGCAGCAGGTTAAGCCACCACACGAGAGGCCTGCATCCCACTCTGGAGTGCAGGCTCAAGTCCAGCTACTGAGCTTCTGATCTAGGTCCCTGCCAATGCGCCTGGGAAGCAGTGGATATCGGATAAAGTGCTTGACTTCCTGCCACAAACATGGAAGACCCAGATGGGGTTCCTGGCTTCTGACTTCATCCTGGGCCAGCACCAGGTGTGCTGTCATTTGAGAAATAAATTAACAGATGGAAGGTCTTTCCCTGTCACTCTGCCTTTCAAATAAATGAATACATCTTTTAAAAAATAGTAGGTAGTACGTAATCCTGATGAATGTGTAGATGAGGGAGGCATTCACAAACCTCTGAAAAGTAATATACTATCTTATCTATCAAAGGGCTTAAGCAATTCTATTTTTTACTTAGTAACTGGCACACAGTGAATCTTACTGGTCAACAAATCAGTTTGACTTTTAGAAAACACTTAAAAGAGAAAGTCAGAATTTATGCTCAAGGATATAATTGCTGTTTCACACTGTCCTTGTTAAAAAGTAACAATCTATTCAACATCTAAGAAGTGGATGAATCACATCTTATGAAAAAGTACTAAGAAACTTTTAAGATCTTATTCTTAAGGGGCTTCAAGGTAGGGGAAAATGCTGACATTACACAATCTTACAAAATTAACAGAGCAAACAGTATTGAAGTTTTTTGGTTTGTTTTCATGTGGTTTTAACGTGAGAAATCAACACAGAAAACCAGCAAGTAGTAAAATTTTAATATTCACTAACAGTCTAGAATCAAAACTCAAAACTTCTGCTCAAAAAACATGCTCAACCCATTAAGTATGGTCTGTATCTTAACAGTGTTAGTCTCTTGTCACTCTTGGTACTAAAAAAGGAAGCACGGAAGTTTCAGTTAGTGGTTGTCTTAGCAATTTAAGAATAAATCCACATGTTCAAAGTCTATTTGTCATTCCACATCCTCTGTGACTGGCGCAGTACCTGGCGCAGAACAGGAGCTCCAAAAATTTTGAGTACCACCAAAAACAAACCTTTCAGTTCCAAGTTAGCATCCAGGAAAGTAAAAACGTCAAGACGAAACAGATACATAAAAAGTAATTGTGATAATAATTTGCAGTATTGAGTGGCTACAGTGTATTAGGTGCTAATGAGCACTTTCTACTTCTTATATTTCATTCTCATCATCCGTCCCCGAAAGTGCCACCTCTCACACTTTAAAACCAGAAAACGTTCTTAAAGGTTA